CTCTCTGTCTTGACCTTACTGGCAATCTTCTAGTTATACGCAACTTCATTTTCTCTCCTAGATTCTCTGCTTTCCGTGTGACTGATTTGCTCTCCCTCTTGCTCTCGTTTTCTTTATCTTAGTGATGGTATCAAAAATAATTGAGTGTGTAGGATTGTTTGTTTCCCATTTGCATCTCAAAAAGACATCAATTGGCTTAATATTTAGCATTAAACAGAATTATCAAATTAAGGGTTACTCATCTGGGTAAGCTCTGTTGCACACAAACCAAAATACACATTTTATTTCTGGGTAAAAAATATATCTAGTAATACTGAATTTAAAAATCAGTCAAAAGCTATTTGAGGCAAGCGGCAGCTGTTGATATGGGAACTAAGTACCTCTGTTGACATTCTTATGTTTCATCCTTGACTTGAAAGCTTTTGTCTCTATTTTTCAGTTGACTCATACAATTTAGCTGAAACAAACACTCCAATTTTCTTCTCGGGGTATTTTGAACATGCTGCCTTTCAGGAACTATTTTTGGGACTAGAAATATTGCACATCAGATTAGATGGAGATGGTTCAAATCTTTCCCCCATCTTAGAAATCTTTCAGATAGTTATGGGTGCTCCATCACTGGAGGGTTATAAGAAGAGATTGGACAGCCATTTGTCTGGAAAGGAACAGGGTCCCTTACTCGAGCAGAGGGTTGGAATAGAAGATCTCTAAGGCCCCTTCCATCTCAGTTATTCTGTTATTCCTGAATCCCCATGAGATTTAATAACCTCATAATCTTTCCCAGAAACCTTGAAAAATTCCTGCAATCTCACAAGGCCTCAGATAATTGATATCATTTGGAAGGGGAGCCCTTTAAGGGTCTCTTGTCTTGTCATGCCCCAAATCCAAGGAGGAAGACGAACAGCCATCAGGGAGCGGGAAAGAGTAGAGGAAACTGGGGAAGGACAAAATCAGGATGGGCAGAGCCTGTCAGTGTAGCAGATAATTTTGTGTACTAAGCTTAGATCAGACCGTAGGCAGTTTGTCCAGAAGGCATAAGGTATTCTATTGCGAGGGGAGGAGTGGAGGACTCTCCTTGTGACATAACCTTCTGACTCGCTCAGTTGTATTAATGTCCGTTATACAGTGTGGATTCCAGGCAGATGAGCTGTATTCGAGAATTGGTCTGGCGAAGGTTTTGTATGCCCTGGTTTGCAGTTCAATGTTACCGGGGAAGAAGCTTCTCCTGTAACGTTGAACTGCAGTGTCCTGAGATCACATGATCACCATTTTTGAGCTTCCCGATCGACTTCAGACAAGCAGAGTCAATGAGGGAAGCCAGATTTGTTTAGCGGTTGCCTGATTCACTTAGCAACGGTGGCAAAAAGATTGCAGAACTGGGTGTGACTCACTTAATGACCATCTTGCCTAGCAAGAGAAATCCTGATCCCTTTGTGGGTCGTAGGACTACCTGTATTGTTCTTAGGTAAACACTGGTTGAACCCTTCATCAATGCAACGCGATGACGTGTCAACAAAATCTCCCTAATTCACAATTTCTTTTTCTTTTTTTCTGCAGCAATCATACGGAGATTCCAGCCTTGACTCTTCATATTCGTCTCAGATATCTGAACCTGTGAGTAATTTTGTTGTTCTCGTTTGAAACGGAGTGAAACTCAAGAAATAGCGGTTAATTGGATGGTTCTAAATATCAGTTCAGCAATACTTTAGTGGAGAGAGATTTCTGTGTATTGGGGCTGAGTTTTTTAACAGCCACATCGGACAATGTTTGCAACAGAAATTATTTGATTATTTCTTCTAGTTCAGAGGTGGTATTCAGCCAGTTCTGACCAGTTCTGGAGAACCAGTAGCAGAAATTTTGAGGGGTTCGGAGAACCGGCCAATACCACCTCTGACTGGCCCGCCAACCCCATCTCTTTTCTGCCTCCCATCGAGTCCCAGCTGATCGGCTGAGTCTCCTTTGGTTGCCCTGTACAGGAGAATGGAGCTGGAAAGCAGGTTAGTGGGGAGGGAATGGGGATTTTTCAAGCTATGCCCACAGAACCACGAGTAAATTTTTTTGAATCCCACCACTGTTCTAGTTCCGTGTTTTTTTGGAGAGATCCGAGTGGCCTGGCTCATCATGTGGAAAACACAGCTTATAAAAAACACAGAACATTCACCGAAATCAGAGGCACTCTCTGTGTATTTATTTACTTCATAGGTTGCTCAAAGTACAGTCCAGAAAAAAAAGAAAAGAAAAATGAGGAAGCCAAAAAGAAAATCAGAAAGTGATTTACAAACTTTTAAAACTGATTGAAATTGTTGAAGCAACGCTAGATCAGTGCTGCCTATAGAAGTAGACAAAAAAAAAATCAGTTGGTATTAAACAAAGAAAACCTCTTTAAGATGGATCTTGACTCAAACAATTAACCAAAGTTTCTATCTGATCTAAAAAGTTCCAACCTTATTTAACAAGACAGGCAAAAGCTAATATGTGAAAACTGTAAGCTAAAGAGGCTCACAAATTTGAATGGGTTCTAAGTCAATATTTAGAGCTGTACAGATTTTCAAGTTGAATTAAATTTTATACCAGATTTATTTTAGACAGTGATGTGTGTTCCCATAGTTTAATTTGCCAGTTTGCTAAAGAGCGGGATTGTATATGATTTCCAGGAAGAAGCATAAAACATTCTGACAGATATATTTGGTTTGGAGACCAAGAATTGCTTAGGTAGTCATGGAGCTGACAGAACACACAATGGAGAAGGGGGTGGATGATGGTTGATTTGATTGTGGCCAAATCAAGAGTTGATTGCAGTAGGGAATTTGACTTTTTGTGAAGTCAGTTCCTAGTGTTGTGGTTTGCCGATAGCCGGTGCAGCCGGCAGCGGAATCGGACAGTGGAGAAGAACGGGGATCAATCCGGGAGTCTGGAAAGGACTCGGATGATGGTCCTGCATCCAATGCAGAGATGGGGCCAGGACCATCTGGGAGTGGGGTGCTGACTCTGGAGGCTCCAGAGTCTGGCAGCAGCGAGGCAGAGGACCCAGGGGAGCCTGTTCCCAGTGCATGTGTGCGCAGAGCTGCTAGAAGGCAAGAGAGCTGAGACAAAAGGGGCTCTTGGAGGCTTGGAGGTGATTGCCCCTCCCATAAGGTATAAAGGACAGGCAAAGATGATGAAACCTTTGCAGGAAGCAAAGTCGTTCATTCGGTTCAGATTCATTCTTGAAGCTCTTTGTACTTCGGTTGGTTTCTTTTCTAGTTCACTTGGCACTTCTGTTTTTGGCAGCACTTCACAGGAAAGAAAGGTGGGTGATTATCTCGAGATACTGTTTGAGATTCATTACCGGCTGGGAATGAAAATAATTCCCAGCATTGCAATAAAACAAGACTTGTTTTTAAAATAAGTGTGTGTGTGTGTTTACGGTCTTGGAAGCCTTAGTCAGAACATCTAGAAGGGTGATTGAGCATTGTCTGTATTGGCTCTTCAGGGGAAATGAAACTGATAGCTGACTTTCTTTTTTTCAAAACCTTTTTCTAGCCTCTTGAGGGAGCCGGTGATGGTTTGAATAAACCCAGTTCCTTTGCATATCTGCTGATGATACACCTGAAGGAAGGCAGGAACCTGGTCATCCGGGATCGCTGTGGTGAGTCACTTTCTAAATCGTTTCTGAGTTCTGAGGCACATAAATGCAGGTATCCATTTAAGTCTGTGTACATTTATGTTTCTGTGAGAAATTATGCTACTGACTCGATTTGTGGTCTCCGTAGAACCTTCTGAGACTTCCAAATTGACAGATTGGTAATAATGGTCAGTGATCAGCAAAGTTTAAAAGAACAAACACAGAGTGAAGCAAGCACAAGAGGGAAAGAATTATGGAATAAATGCAGAAAGAGGGAGGAAGGGAAGGAAGGAAATAATCACAGATTTGAGTAAAAAGCTCTTAATTCTTTCTCCTGTTAAAGAACAATGTACACATGATTCTTTTTTTCTCTTTCCTTTCCCTTTGTTTCATTTTCTTTCCCTTCCTTTCCTTTCTTTTCCCTTTTCCCTTCCCTTTCTCCTTTCACCTCCCTTTCACTTCCCTTCCCTTCCTTTCTTTTCCCTTTCCTCTTCCCTTTCTCCTTTCCTTTCCTTCTCCTTCTCTTCCCTTCTTTTCCCTTTCTCCTTCCCCTTTCCTTTCCCTTTCTCCTTCCCTTCCCTTTCTTTTTTTCTTGCTAGAGAACTACATTTCATGTAGACCTGTGGGTTTTCTTGAGGTCTGATTTAACTTAAATTACTGGGAATTGTTTAAGTTGCAGTTCCAGAACCTCCAGAGGTCCTTATGATGTGATTAGTTACCCTGGACTCATATGTAAATAGAAACACCATTAAGGTTTGGACTTTGTAGCTTTCTTTTAATTTTTTTAAAAAAGTCAAACATACCAAATTAAGTGTCAGAATAGAATGACATCCAGTTTAGCCTACGTGCCTTGAATTTTCTGGGAGCCCCCAATCATATATCTGCTCTAACCATCGATGAAGGCCAGTGGAGGGCTACCACTTCCTCCTGCATGTGGGAATGCAGATTCTTACTAAAAGAAACCCAGCTAAGTAGCTTTCCATAGGAAGTGGGCAGCAATTCCCCTTAATGAAAGATCTGAGATTATTCTGTGTTTTTTGATTAGGCCAGTTGATTTTAGTGAGAATGTGATGTCACTCCTGTTTCCTTTTGGTGGTATTTTGGTTTAGTGGTTATTTAGCAAGTCTTTAGACTCAAAGGCCTCACTGCCCCCGCTACCTTTGAATTCTTTGAAAATAAAAATTAACCTCCCAAAAAAGAACGAAAAAGATTTTATTGTATTATGTGCCACAATGCAAAATACCTGATATGGGTTAGAACTGGTTTTTTTTTTCTTTTTTTCCAAAGAAGTTTTTGTTTCAATAAAAAAAGTCATTTCATCATAGAAAAAAGGAAAGTGGCTGATTTCATCCATCGTGCTAAGTCATGGTTTCTTTTAACTGTGGTTTGTTAAGCAGGCTGCAGTACACATATAACATACAAAAATCAACGCAAACTGCAAGAAATAAAAGAATAAAAGGAAATCAGAAAAATAGAGAAAGAATAAGAACAAAGCAAAGAAAAGGAAATGTATAAATAACTTCCCCTTTCATCACAAGGAAAAAACAATTTTAATAACTTATCACCTTCTCGCTGAAAGCAACAATCTTTTCATCCCATATCTCATATCTTATTTATAAACAGATCTTATTCAGTCCCTTAATGTTAGGAAAAACATTTCATTTGTGTTTTAGTGGCTCCCTCTGCTGGATGCTTTGTAACATTGCAACGTATTAGATAGAAGAATTGAGTAAATATGTACCGGTACCTCCAAAGTTTTGCCAACTGCAATCTGTTGATCTCTTTAGCAAAATAAAGGCTGTTTGTTTCCCCTATTTCAAGCTTCTTAAATCAGCCTCTAAATTCAGGAGCACATTGTTTGGATACTGAGCCTAATCTGACTTCTCCTTTTGCTAAAGCTTTCTCCCATAAAAAGGCGGCGGTTATTGTTATATTTTACTTCCTTGTTGTCAATATTCTTTAGAATTTATTTCAAACTTTTTGGGGTTGCATTTTCAGTTAGCCTTATGGCTATGAGGTGTGGAAGATGCCGGAGTCCTCTCTTTTCCATCCTCTCTTTTTCTTTCACCCTATGGATGTGATGTTCCTATTCACATCTTCCTACTTCGATATTAATTTAGGCGTGGGAAGCAAGGGAGGTTGTGGATTGCACAGCAAGACATAGAGCGCGCTCTCTCTCACACACACACCCCGTGTGTAACCCAGACCAGGGAAAGAAAAACCCATGCTTTATTCAAGTCTGTAAATCATTGTCTTCTTGCTTCATGGCTTTGTTGTTATGATAGCAACTTCACCCAAGTCACATCTTGGATAAAACTGGAAAAAGCAGAAGCTCTTTTAGAGAAGAAAAGAAAATCTAGATTTGCCAAGGGAACAATTCCTTTCCAGTCTCCAGTGCTGAGTTGTTAGACTAAAGTGTAGGGATTCATAACTAAGTTGTGAAAATCACTTATTAGGGTTTGGATCATTAAGGAACGGGGGGCTAAAACATATGATGAACAGTTACAGGAAAGGGGTATATTTAGTCTAACAAAGAGACAGATTAGGGGTGACTTGATAACCTTCCAATATTTGAGGGACTATCACAAAGCAGAGGGGGTCAACCTATTCTTCAAAGCCCCTGAAATCACCACACTATAGAAAAGATGTTGATATTCTAGAAAGAGCGCAGAGAAGAGAAACAAAGATGGAGGCTAAAACATACGATGAATGGTTGCAGGAACTGGGCATGGCTAGTCTAGTGAAGAGAAAGACCAGGGGAGACACGATAGCTATTTTCCAAAGCACCCAAAGGCCAGACAAGGAATAATGGATGGAAACTGATCAAGGATAGATTCAACCTGGAAATAAGGAGGAATTTCATGACAGTGGGAATAATCAACCCATGGAACAGAAGTTGCCTTCAGAAGTTGTGGGAGCTTCATCACTGGAGGCTCTCAAGGAGAGACTGGACTGCCATTTGTCAGAAATGGTGTAGGGTCTTCTGCTTGGGTGGGCGTAGGGTTGGACTAGATGACCTACAAGGTCCCTTCCAACTCTGTTAATCTGTAAGTAAGTTATCAAAGAGAGATCCAACCTGGAACTAAGGATATTTTTCCTGACAGTGAGAACAATTCACCAGTGGAACGACTTGACTCCAGAAGTTGTGGGTTGCTCCATCACTGGAGGTTTTTAAGAAGAGATCTGAGAGCAATTTGCCTGGACTGATATAGGGTCTCCTTCTTGAGGAAGGGGTTTGTACCAGAAGAGTTCTTCAGTCCCTTCCAACTCTCTTGGTCTGTTACGATTGCTTGAAAGTGACTTTAACTTTTTCCCCCTTTTAATTGTTAAAGCAGTCCTATGGTTTTCTGGTCTTCCTTGCTGCTTTGGAACCTGGTATTGGCTTGTCTTTGCATATGTATTTCTGCACCGTCACTTCTCTTTGTTCGGTGGGGGGGAAGGAAATGCCAAAAAAACCGGTCATTTTCACTCAAAACTTTCTTTCCAACTTGCTCGCTTTATGTCTGTTGTGAAATTCAGAAGAAAACCTTAGCTGGGCTGAAACAGAAAGCTAAATACGAACTCTATGATTGCTCAATATGTCAGCTTGGCTCATAGCAGATGTTAAGACCAAGACTGAGTTCTCACGACACATTCAGCCACAAATATCCACTTCCGTTATTCTAATCCATTATTTCGTGTGACTTCAGAGGCAGCGTGGCCCCTCCCTGTAATATCATTCTGTTTTACCTGTGAGCCCTGCTGTACTGACTCACCTTCTCAGTAGGTGAACTCTTGGTTGGCTTATTCACGTTAATCGCTGAAAACTCTGAAAGTCGATTTAGACCTGCATTAATACATAACATGTACACAGCATCTAAAATTGGTTCTACATTGCCAAATTACAGGTGTGAACTACTGATCTAGAGCAGGGGCCTCCAGAGCTGGCTGGAGAATTCTGGGAGTTGAAGTCCTCGAGGTTTAAAGCTGCCAAGGTTGGAGACCCCTGATCTAGAGAGCTGATCTTTTCTATGGTGCCCAGAGTCACCATGAATGAATTAGACAGCCATGT